TGGCAAGAAGCATCCCAGTGACTGAACACAAAAAACAAAACACAAACAACCAACACTCTAGAAATTTATTACTGGATTACAACCTACACACAAACCCAACTAAGCTCAAGACTAGCAAAGTAGCAGCACAAAATGAGAAGAAAAACACGTTTAATAAATGCAATTTAGAAAACTCTTTTTCTTTAAACTAGGTTCAAATACTGGGAGACAAACACTGGAACAAAAATCTTGACAAGACACTTACAAACCACCGTAACACACAGCGAGCCCCCGGAAAGCGCCCACACAGAGTCCACTGCAGCTTCTCCTGACGAATGTACATTTGTCCACTTTTGTGTGTTTTTCAAAAAGAGTGTTTAGGTTCTTAGAGACTAGACACATGAACATTAGTTCCAAAATTTTTAATGTCCCTGTTTACAAAGCTATGAGAAACTAGGACRTACACTGTATTTGAACCTTCTCCTAAGAATGACATACATCCAAATAATGAAGTGGCCATGACAACAGGGGGAAGAGCAGACAATCCACAGAGGCCTACTTGGGAACACATGGCTTTGCAAGAGGAAGACAGACAAGACAGCTTTTAAGAAAATTTTGTGTTTAAATGAAAAAGTTATTAAGAAGAGGGCAAGAGAACAAGGGAAGAGAGTACTTAAAGAAACAAATCTGCATAGATGAAGAACTGAACTGGATTCATATCTAAAACTAACAAGCATGGTGACCTGAGGTAGACTCTGGGAATAACACATGCAAAGACTCAGGTTTCTCCAGGGCAATATTTACTCATTTCAGAGAATGTGAAGTAAAAGTGCATTTTATAGTTTTGAACATATCAAATGAAAGCCCTTTGATAAGAGGGAGACTTTGCTATACTAATTCCCTATTTGTTGTGCCAAGTATATAAAAGCTACACACTACTTGTGATAAAACAATATATCCAGGTTTTATTTTTATTTTCTCAATAAATGAGAAAAGTAAACAAAAAGAATTCTACATTACTTTAACATTTTCCCTGTTTYATTAATAAGCCATCTAAAATTTAGAAATATCAAAGCTAGAGTTCAGATCCCAAAACCTAATAAAAATTCAAATTATTGTCAATCACATGAACGTGTATAAACATATCTATTATTACACAGATTTGATTTTTTAAATACTCACAGTAGTTTCCACATTCAGAAACATTAAAAGTAAATGTCCAAAATTATTAAATAAATAAGTATGAAAAACCTAGTTTAAAAGCATAAATAAGTAAACTTAACAATAATTACAACAGAGTTTTTAGCTCTTTATGCAAATACTATTAGTGGAAATGAGAGCAAAACATTTTTATCCCTTTAACATGTTCTCCCAACCATAGTTCCTGCTTTTTTCTGTGTGACAGATGCTTAGATTCACATAAATATTATGTGCATCACAAATTAAGTGGTATGTAAAAAATACACAGAACAGTTAAAGAACAAAATGAAGACACAAAAAAAGTCAGATTTTTCCTCATACAAGTTAAGTGACCTTTTCTTGGAAAAAGCCAGCATATACCCTTAACTGATTCCTAACATATAGGATATCCTCTAAGGTGATTTATTATTAATAAGATAAAAGGAAAAGTAGAAATTAACTATGATGCAAAAAAAGACTCAAGAACTTATTGGACAATACTGAAAGAGTCAAAGACACCCATACATGAAATACCTGCCTAGTCGTTATGTTACCTCAAGCTGTGTCAATGACACAGTTACTGTTTTAATGTTTTGTGATTCTCATCTCAGACTCCTCAGTATACACAGAAACTTACTTCCAAGAAAGGAAGCCAAATGAACTCATGCTCTCTAAAGAGTATCTATCATTTCTTGTCCAATAGTTGGGCTGCACAGAGCAAAGTGAAAGAATGATAAATATATTGTCAATTTGGCCTGTATATACACATTTTTCCTTGATATAGCTGTATGGCTGTTCATATTAGATTCATCAGTGCTTGCCTACTTTCTGAATCGAGACTTCAGCCAATTTTCTGAAATATTTGCAAGTCAAAAATCATATCACAAAAACCACAATCTCAGGAGCTCAAATGAAGGCCTAGCTCTATACAGCCAGCCTGCAGGGTGATTCCATTCCACAGTGTCTTGGTATTTTGGGAGATAGCAGTCAGAGCCTAGATTGTGTCTGGAGAGGCTGTGATACTATTGTCTGCTATCTACTTGAGTGACTAAGAGGATACAACTGCCACTGAAGAGCAATTTGTCTGGTATATTTGATCAACATTAATTCCCTTTAAAATCAAAGGAATTATGGGAGCAAAATGATTACAGTAAACATGTAACGTGTACCCATTTACCATACTTACACATGTAATTATAGTATAGAAAATGATAAAACTGAGATTAAAATCATCAGATCTTTAATAGGTTTATATTGTTGAAACAAATGGATATCAGTTCTAATTGTAAAACTGATTAAAGAGCAAAAAAAGAGGGAGGGGGACTTTTTTATATTATTTTCTCAAATATAGATTTGTGTGTCTTTCCACCCATGAGGTAAACTCTTATTTCAGCAGAAAGCAGAAGCTACACAGAGTAATTAGAGAAAGCAACAAGTCAGAACTTCACTGTCTGTTCCCGCTTTGCAAGTCAGAGCTCCCACCCATTGCCCTGTATACAGCAAGCAAGCAAGCAACCCACGTCTGCCCATGAAGGGACCATCTGATTATATATCTGCAAAGCAGAATTATACCCAGTGCAGTCCTAACATCATTGTGCCACAAAACCCTGAACACTCACGTTTCCAGAGGAATTAAAGGAACTAAAATTTATACTTCTGATAATGCATCTGCTTTTACAACATAGAAAAGCAAGCCAAAGCAATTCTTTCTCATTCCAGGGAAGGCAACACACTGTCTTGCAATAAAGGCAGTGTACACTAAAAAATGGACAGAACACGTGCGGGACTCTTCGTGATCTTTTAAGGGGCTTACGATATACAAAGCCTTCACCATCCACTGACAGAGCAAAACGAAAAACAAGGGAAACAAGCACAGATGACTCAATTAAGTCAAGATAAGCTTCTGGGAAGTTYTGAGTCCCAAATACTGCTTAACTGGTAATAAAAGAAACACAATTGCTATGTCATTATCCTTAAAGAATTAAAACAATTAAATACACACTGGGGTAAGTAACACAAAACCTAGAAAAGGTCTACAAATCAATTAAAATGTGACAGAGAAGTTTTTTTTTAATTACATAACTATGTTTTAACAATTGTCCCTGAAAATTTAAGGGAAAAAATACACTACTGAATGGCAATACTCCACAAGATAATTTTGGTGGGATTATTTCTTTATTTTGAAAGTTTACAACTGGAGCCGGGTGCAGCAGGGCATACCTCTAGTCCCACATTCTTGGGAGGCTGAGGTGGGAGGCTCAGTTGACCCCAGAGATTTGAGACCATTCTGGGCAACACAGGGAAAGGGAAAGCCCATCTCAAAAATAAATAAATAAATAAATAAAAGAAAAGTTAATAAATAAAAGGAAACTTCATTTCAGTTTTTCAAGATGAATTAATCCAATTATAATAAAATCATGATGCCTTATGATTTAGAGTCTTATCTGTGTCTCCGAGGAAAAAGGGAAATTTATTGCATAAGATAAATACTGAAGTTTAAAAGGAGACTTAAGTTATCTGAAAAGAACATGAGGCATTTAGAGTTCTTAATGGGAAAAAGTTAAATCTTTTAAGCAAGACACTAAGAGTTTCCCCTGTGTCTACAAGCCATATAATATATGTTTTAAATCAGTAGGTTTTATTCAAAATCAAGAATTTAGTATGTCATCAAATACCAATTTTAAAAAGCCTGATCACTAAAACAGATTGTCTAATGATTCAAATAGAATAAATGTAATTAACTATAAGACCTAACCCCTCAGAATACTCTACTTGTGATTAGATATGTGTCATTTGCCTTTCCTGGCTCTGATCTACCATCTAATTCCTGCTGGACTGAATGAGCAGACAGATTTCTAACCTGATCTTACTTTGTGTACCAGTTCTTCATCTAGACAAGGAAGAATTTCAAACTTTTCAAATAAACATCATTMATTACATATGATGGTGTTGTTAAACAAGCTGTGTGGAAAACTACAAACATTTTGTTTTGCATTAGTCATGCAGACTGGGTTTGTTTAAAATATCAAAGTATTTTCTTAAATACTAAAATTGAATTCAACAAAAATTAAATTGTGTTGGAGCTGAGAAAAATATTAGCTGTAACTGGTTCAACATGTTGAAAGAAAAGCAAAAACAAACTCAGAAGTCTAGAATGAAGAAGCACTTCTAAAGTAATCATAACATCCTTCCCACTTTTCCAATATGAAATACAAGAGATATTAGCAAAAAAATGCTATGGACCAGAGAAACCACCTGGCAAAACGATTAAAACCCAGAGCACAGGTTATTTCTGGATAGTGCTCAAAAAAATAATCAAACAGCTAATAAAGGAAACAATGGGGAAGGAAGGAGTGAAAATTATAACTGTTATACTCTTAATAGTTAAGTAGGAACTGAAATCTAAAGATTGAAACTAGCAAATTCCTTATTTCCTCCAAAACTTACTATCATTTTTCTTATAACAATGAATTTGCAAACCCAGTTTTGTTATTAAAAGCCAATATATATATAGCTCCCTCATAGTCATAGAGCAATAAATTGAAAAACAAACAAAAAGAGAGACAAATGCAAGTAAGGAACATCCTTCTAAATCTTTTGTAAACAAGTTTCTAAAACAGTACACTGCTACTTTCTTTGGCCTCCCTGATATACTGGTTTGGGTGCAGAATATCAATGCATGAGTACGTGGAATACCAGCACAAGGCCAGGCAAGGGAGACAATCAGATTCTCTATTCAAGTTTTTCTTAGTTCAAAACCACATTTAGTACTTTGTGGTTTTAGTTTYCTTTTTTGCCTCTAAGTGAGAACTTCTCAAATGAAAAATTCCAAACCTGTCTTGAAAAACTGCAGGAATTTCTTCACATTTTATAAATAAATACACTGAAAATGAAAGAGCTGACAAAAACTCAAGCAGATCCAAATTCAACCATCCATTTCTCATACTTCTCCAAATCTGCAGCAGAGACAGACTTAGCAATTTTCTTAAGAGCCAACTCAAAGTCTCCTTTGGTAACAGGCATCTGAAGTTCCTCCTTAGAAAGTGCACGGATCTCCTCTGGACTTAAGCCATTGATACGCCGCCTCATTGCCATTAAAGAAGCATCCCTAAAAACATACCAAAATCAGTCAGCAGTAATTTTTGTGTTTTGGACACTTCAAATTGTTACAAAGTTGTGGGAAAACATTTAAAWGATTATTTTATATGTTTTTATGATGCTACTTAGAACTTTCTGCTTCAGAGACATCCTGAGGTTTCAGAAGAGTATACAAAAGTCTTAAAGCATAAAATGTATAGTTAATGAACCACAGAAGTCTAGGCTGAGCTCAGATAATATGGAATTCTGCACTTCAAAAATAGCCAAGAAGTTTAGGAAACTGGAGCCAAATTTTGAAAAACTGAATTGCACACTTGGAAATGAACATGTGGACAATATTAATTTAAGCCATATATATACTAGTTTGTCTAYAGCCTAGTTAGAAGGGGTAAAATGAGAAACCCCTCTTTCTGGAATATGAATATATAACAATATGAATATAAACATCGAGTGGATACAATTTTCTACAAGGGAGTATTTGTGGGCAACAAACAGTATCAACTCTGGCATCTCCTAATCCTATTTGCAGTTCTATTTGACCAATTACAAAGAAATACAAAGTTTGGAGAAACAGATAATTGACAGTCACCTAAGGGGAAGGCCAAGCCAATCAAAACTTCAAACATTACTACACTGACAATAAAAAACTATTGTGAGCTTACTATATGTCACTAAACTTAGATGCACACAGGAAAAAMACTAGCAGAAAAAAAAAACACAGATGTTCAGACTTAAGCTACTTTGAAGTCAGTGTAAGTACAGTTAAATAAGAGCTGAAATAAAAAATTGATGTGAATTGTCTAAAAATTATTTTGCTGCTAAACTGAAAGAAAAATTTTAAAAATGGGTTAATATTTGTTCTATAGCTTAAATTGATCAACTTTTTTGTTCATCACATGTGGCCTAATAATATCAACCATAACTAAATGATATTACATTATACTAACTGGGCTAGGCTCCAACATAGAGCTAAATTGACTGTGGGTCGTTGAAGTCATTATTATCAAGTTGAATATACAATTTAAAAAAAAAAAAATCAAAGGACCAAAACCATAAGTGACCACATTGTTATGTAATCATTAACCTAACAATAACCAATAAAGCTATACAGAATTTTTTTCCCACAAATAAGAAAAATCTTCAAAGAAATGGGTAATTGCTTTTAAGTTAATGGCTAACTACATTGACTTTAAGACAAGTTCTCCTGAAAAATCTGTAACAAAATGTCTAGGATCACAGATCATTTAAAAAAAAAAAAAATACCTGCAAACGTTAGTTATATCAGCACCAGAATAGCCCTCAATCTTCTCTGCTATATCTTCCAGTTGAATATCAGGATCTAACTCAACTTCACGAAGATTGATCTTCAGAAGCTCAGCTCTTCCTTTGGCTGGAAAAACATTTTTAGTTGTTAGAGATACAAATCATTTTCCCAACAAATTAAATATTAGTTTAGAAAAAGAAAAAACAAAAGCAAAGCAGAGTCAAGAACTGTGAGCCCACCAGTGTCACCAATTCATTGTATAACTCAGGCAATCAGTTACCTGTGCATATTTGCTGCAATAACTAAAAACTGAAACATAACTCCGTTTTCCTTATCGACTGTGAGGATACCTGCTATGAGAACAAAGGATCTGAGATCTTCTATGACAACATAAACATCAATGTATTTCAGCACTAGCAATGCTTCTAATAAAATATATTTGGCCTACACTTACAAAACTAGACTGTATGCAGTATAAATCCTATAAATTATTCTGTTCACTTTTTAGTATGATACAGGAAAAAAATTCCAGAACTTTCATCAGTAGTTTTATAAAAAAAAAAAAAAAACACTAGAAATAAGCAATTTTCATAAGCTCACTATTACATTTTTTTACATGATGAGACAGCCCAGAGACATTTGATATTCCTGTGCAACTTAAATGTGTACTGAGTCAACGCAAACAAATTTTTTTTTTCAGTGCCGAAGGTCGAAAACAGGAACTTGCGCTTGCCAAGCAGATGATAACTCCCCAACCCCTAGATGACTTTTTAAATAACCAATCATGTTTGCTATATCACTATGGCTTTTAGTGGCACATTTGCTTAATACAGTATTATTCATAACGAACTTATCTGGCTCTATGTTATTTCCTAAGATAATAAATAAAATTTAATTTTCTTGAACTTTTATTTTGAAAAGATTCTAAACTACTACCTTTCATCAGGATTTGCCATTGTTAACATTAACTGCCCACCTCTCCCCAACCCTTTTGAACTAAGAACTGACTATAGTATGATTATACTTCACCTTAAATTCTTTAGCATGTATCTCCAAAGAACAAAGGTATACATATAATTATCACCCTCATTAGGAAATTTAACACTGGTATATTACTAACATCCAAAACACAATTCAAAGTAAAATATTACCATTTGCCCCAGGCTTTTGTAATATTCACAAACTATCATATATTGTATTCAGTTACCATGTCTCATTAGTCCTCTTTCATGTAAACAGTTCCCCCATATTTATTTTTTGTTTATTTTGTCTTTCATGACATTGACAATTCTTCAACTGATCTTATGGAATCAAAGCATTCCAATAAAGATCCTAAAAGGTCTGTTTGTGGAWCCAAACAGGCAGATACTAAAATGTTTATAGAATTGGAAAGAACCAACAACTATCAGAACACTCTGGAAGAGAAATAGCAAGATAGGAAGAGTTGCTCTATCAATTTATAAGATGTACTGCAAAGCAACAGGATTCAAATCAGTGTAACATTCTTTATAAAAAAAAATTTCAGTTTTAGATGGACATAGTATCTTTATTTTATTTTTATGTGGTGCTGAGGATCAAACCCAGTACCTCATGCATGCTAGGTGAGCACTCTACCACTAAGCCACAACCTCAGCCCAGTATAACATTCTTCAGAGATAGACAAAATAATTAATGATATAGAATTGGAAGACTAGAAGCAGATCAGAGCTCATACTGTGGACAGAGGTTGTTCAGGCAGCAGTGGTTAGGAGTGGCTTTTCAATTAACAATGCTACAACAACTATCTACAGGAAAAAAATGAAGATTGTATTATACCTCATACTGTACACAAAAATTAGTGCTGACACATTTCTTCTAGGAAATGATCAGAATTTTAGAAGATAATTCTGGAAAAAAATCTTAATATTCTTAATGTTTTCAAGATACACATTCAAAAACAGAATAGAAAGGAAAAGACCAATAAACTGGCCACATTTAAATTACTTCTATTCCTCAAAAGACAGTATTAAATATAGTGAAGACAGACAGCCTAGAGTGTATTTATGACATATATAAGTAACAAGGGACTTATATCCAGAGTGTTTTAAAAAACTTCTACAAATCAATAAGAAAGAGTCACACTACCCAATAGAAATATAGGTAGAAGATCTGAATAGATATGTCACAAAATCCAAGCAGACATATTATATAAAGAAAGAGATGGCCAAATTGTTAAATAATTAAGGCAATGCAACTTAAAACACAATGAGATAACACTGCACTCCAACTGACTGGTAAAATTTAAAAGCATGGCAATTTATCAGGTGTTGGAAAAATATGAAACAACAGGAACTCTCCTATACTCCTGGTAAGAGTGTAAAGTGGAACCACCACATTGGAAAAYATATTGGATTTATCCACTAAAGCTGCAGTTGGCAATATGACCTAGCAATTTACTACTAAGCCATAACCCTCCATCCTGGCCTGAAGAAACTCAGGCATTTCTATACATGTAAAAGAAAGTTCATATTAGATCATTCATAATAATCTATAATGGAAAACAATCACACAGCATTGAGCAAATAACATAATGAAGAAATTGTGGTATAATCACAACATGGATATTAAGGGCTGAATTCTGTCTCCCTCAAATTCATAAGTTGAAGTTCTAACCTTAGTTCTTCAGAACATCACTGTATTTGGCGAAGGGGCCATTAAAGGGCTATGAAGGTTATATGGGCCCATGACTAGTGTCTTCATGAGAAGGGATTAGGACACAGACACACTTGATAGAAGACGACAGGAAAACATCTGAGGAAGGTGGCAATCTGACAGGTGAGGAAGGAGGCCTCAGAATGGAACCAGCTCTACTGACACATTGATCTTGAACTACTCAGGCTCCAAAAGTATATACCAACTGCTACAAAGGTGCTGTGTTCCTGATGCCCACATAAGCACTCATAATTTTAACAAAAAAGTGTCACTATTTAGTATTCCACATGTAGCAAGTGAACAGTGGTGAACGAATATTATTTAATTTCTTAGTTCCAATATTCAAATACCATTGCATTTGGAAATTACTCTGTTTGAGCCTAAGAACCTAATCACCAAGTTTAATATAATGTATTCTTACACGTAAATGAAGTTCCAGAAAGCTGATTTCAAAAAACTTTGGAACATAAACCCACACCTGAGAGACGACCTGGTAATTCTGAAGCATGGTAGGAAGCATCCTCCTTTACTCTAGAATTGTGACTTTGGAGCAATTAACTTTTAATAGTAGCTGTATCAGTGATTTGTTAGAAGATTCTAAGATTTATCAGCTCTGTAAAACTGAATGATATTTAATAACCTTGTAATATGATTTAACAAGGGATTAATGTGTTAATAATAGTGTAAAGAACTGCCATTGCGGCAGAATACAACTGACTCTAGGATTGCTGTATGTGTACACATGGATGTATAACCAATGTGATCCTGCAATCTGTACWCGTGGAAAAATGAGAATTCATACCCTATTTGAATCAAATGTATGATATGTCAAGAYCACTGCATTGTCTTGAGCAACTAATAAAAAAAAGTTTTCTCTTTTTTCACTTGAAGAAAAAAAAAAGAATTGCCAATGCTATGTAACAAGGTCAATGCACATTCTAAATTCTAACAAACAAGATTAGAAGCACCACACACAATTCCTTATATCCACAGTTCCTCTTGAGCACAACAGGCAGTTCGGTGAAGGGGAGAGAGTGTGTTCTAGGGCCAGACTGGCTCACACGCCTGTTCTGCTGCCTCAGGTAGAAAACTTAACCTGAGTACCTCAGCTTCTTTATCTGTACAATAAAGATCAGAACAGAATCTGCCTCATCAAACTTTCATGAGGGTTAGATGAGTTAATACATTTTTTTGTAAAGCCTGGACTACAGTCAGCACTCAATAAATGCTCACTCCCCTACCCCTGCTGCCACCACCAGTCAATCAACAACCAGGACTACAAGGAGACTGCAAAAACCCAGAACCCCTTCTGTGGAAACCAACACTAATGAAACACACGAGGAAGAGAAGGGAAGTTCACAAGGAAGACAATCCAAGGTGATAAGGGCTGCTGGAGTAGGTATGTCTTAATGTTGGTTTTGAAAATTAGTACCAAGTAGAAGGGAAGAGAGAACAGCCCAGTAAATAGGAGCTCCATAAACGACGACACAGAAGAAGAAAGATGTATGCTCCAGAATGGAAAAAAAGGTAAGTGGAAAATGAACAATGGAATACTGAGATACTTGAAGAAACACAGGACACATAGGGGTGAACCTGCAGTAAAAATAAGTAAATACATAAAATTACTCTTGCCCTGATATGACAGGAAGCTAGAATTACTCAGAATCTAAATACTATAATACCTTAGTAGTTTAGGGGGTTAATCTAAAAGCAAAATGTAAGTAAATGAATATGCATAAAACGTACGGTAGAAAGTGACAAAAGACTTATGGTAAGGACATTAGAGTTCCACCCACGCCCCTCATTCTGCCTTCTGTCAAGGAAGACAGAATGTATTTACCAAGATGGCTGCAAAGGATATCAGGCTGGCTTCACTTCTACTACGCAGCCTTACCACTTAGTCCCCACCCAAGGGTTACCTGGTTCCCTCCCCTTGAATCCTGCCGGGCTTCTTCCCACAATATTTCAGAAGTGATACTGCATAGCCTCTAAGGCTAGGTCATAAATGCAATGTAGCTTCCAACTTATCTCAAAGAACATCCCCCTTTGGAGTCCTGAACCATCAGGGATGGAATCCGACTACCCGCTGATCACAGGGAAGGGCCTAGGCAACATGGGGGTTAAGTGCTCCAGAAAGACAGCCCCATGAAGCCCCAGAACAGGTGAATAAAGCCACAGCCAAGGGATCCCAGGTCTCAGCTATGATACAAGGCAGCATGGGACTCAGCCAGCCCTGCTGTGCCCCACTCCACATGAGCACAACACAGTATTGTCTTGAATCACTAAGTGTTGGATTGGTTTATTAAAGAGCAAGAGAAACTGATACACTGATACTTTCCTTACCACCTCAGTGTCATTCTCCACTCTAAAAATACTGTGCAGAGCTCCCACATCCCAYGTGCTATTGCCTTCATGGCAGTGAGGCTCAGTCCGTG